GGGATCAATTGCATCCACATGGGATAAGATGCTCACTGAGGATAAGTCTACACTTACTGTGGATCATACAACGATTGAGCCACCAAGGGTCAATTTAGTGCGTCTGCACAAATGACCCTCCTGTAGACGCCAATATTCTACTGGAATGAGAATCATAAAATAAATAAATAAGGGAAACTCTTTTATTGCAGTGTCCACGCCAGACTCAGCATGGTAATAAATCAATTTAAACAATGTTGACTCCTATGGTTATTTACACAGCTGGAGTAGCATAACTCAGGTGTAGAGCTGCTGTAAGAGATCACAAGACATATACAAAGTGTCTGGCCGTGAGAGATTGTCTCCCATCCCTTGGGTTCGTCAGGGATAAACTACACAGTTTTTCTCTTCTGCAGATTCAACTACTCAATTTTCCCTCTGAACCCAAGACACAGACTGTTCATTTTCAGAGTGTGTCTAGACTACACCTCTCTATCGACAGAGAGATGTAGATTAGGCACATCGAAATTGCTAATGAAGCTGGGATTTAAATATCCTGTGCTTCATTATCATAAACATGGATGCTGCTTTTTTTCGACACGGAGCTTTTTTGAACCCCCCCCCCCAGCGGTCTAGACACGGATCTCTCGAAAATAAACCCTTTATCAACAAATCCTGTAAACCTCATTTTTTTAGGAATATGGGATCTGTAGAAAAAGGGTTTAGTTGCAACAGATCCGCATCTAGACTTCCATGTTTTTCGAAAAAACTCCATTTAAAAAAAAAAGCGGTGGCCATGTTTATGCTAATGAAGCATGGGATATTTAAATCCCTGCTTCATTAGCAATTTTGACGTGGTTGATTTGCATCCCTCTGTTGACAGAGAGATGCAGTCTAGATGTAGCCCCAAAGTCAGTACAGAGACATTTGTGTTTTGACAACATCCAAACTGATAGCCAAGCACAGCCACTTGACTGTAGAGCTGTTCAAACTCCCTAACAATTTTCAGTTGATCTGAAATCTCCTTTGAGCTCTTTTTGAAGCAAGCTCAGTATGTCCATATCCATCTTTGGTCACTAGGTACCAACACACTTCTCTCATCCAAAGATGTTGTCCTAATCCCATTAGAATTGGCATTTCAAGGCGTTTCTCATTTCCTAAGAGATTTCTATGCAGAAGAGCTAGTCAGTGAACAGATTAATCATCTGAGAATTAGAGATGGACAAACAAATCTGGGCTCCTGCTAGATACCAAGCTGGCAGGAATTTCAAGTATTTAGGATTATAACTCAAAATGTTCTGGATAAATTGGAGAAATGCTCTGAAGTAAATAGGATGAAATTCTGTAAGGACAAATGCAAAGTTCTCTACTTAGGAAGGAACAATCATAGAAACGGGGAAATGACTATCTAGGAAAAGGGATTTCTGGGTCATAGTGGACCACAAGCTAAATATGAGTGATACTGTGGCAAAAAAAGCAAACATCATTCTGGGATGAATTAACAGGAGTGTTGTAAAGCAAGACACAAGACATAATTCTTCTGCTCTACTGCACACTGATTAAACCTCAGCTGGAGAACTGTGTGCAGTTCTGGGGTCTTTTCAGGAAAGATGTGGACAAATTGGAAAAAAGTCCAAGTTACATAAATAACTAATGGTCTAGAAAAATGACTTATAAGGGAAGATGGTAAGAATTGGGTTTATTTAGTCTGGAAAAGAGAATACTGAGATCGGACATAAAGCAGCTTTCAAGTATCTAAAAGATTGTTACGAGGAAGAAGGAGGAAAATTATTACCTTAACTTCTGATGATAGGACTAGAAGTAATGGGCTTAAATTGCATCCTGGGTGGTTTAGGTTGGACATTAGGAAATTTCTCTAACTACTGTATAAGGGTGATTAATCACTGGTATAAATTGCTTAGAGAGGTTGTGGAATCTCCATTGCTGGAGATTTTTAAGAGCATGTTAGAGAAAACACCTGTCAAAGATGGTCTAGATGGTGTTTGGTCCTGCAATAAGTGCAGGGGGCTGGACCTGATGACCTCTCCAGGATCTTTCCTGTTAGATTCTAGGATTCTATAACTAAGGTGTAAGATTGAATCATCAGAAGGATCTAGGCCATTCTGGAAACCAATTCCTTCTCCTGGCTCTGCAATAGGATGAAGGCTTATGTATTTAAAGCTATAGAAATGCTAACAAAGACACCAATCTATATGCTGTAAGTTCCCTTCACATACCCTGGAAATATATTCTACATGCAGCAGTGTAATTTTAAAACAACCAGCAAGCACCAGGAAGTGATTAAGGAAGCAGGATTAAATATGGTGTGGGGGGCAAGCCTGGGTCCTGCCCCTGAAAGTGGCCCAAGGAACATGGCAGCAGGCAGACTGCTACTGCAAGGGATGGGGAACAGATGTGTGTGGCTTTGACATTCCTCAGCATGGAGAGTGCACAGAGCTACTCATGGTGCCACTCCTGGCAGCTGAAGAGGCTGTGGGAGAACTGAGGGGGAATCCCAAGATATGCAGGGATCAGCTCTGCCTTCTGACAACACTGTGGGATGCATACCCACAATGCACTGCTCACACTGTCAAGGATGGTGCTCCCCAGTGTTGAAAGAGGGAGAAAGTGTGAACACCCTCCAGCAATTTCTGTTTTGTCGACCTATGGGAGTCGACATGAGTTTTGTTGACAAAACTTGGTAGTTTAGACGTACCTTGAAACAGATTAAAGCCTAGAAATGGCTTGCCGGGATTAAGTCTCTTGCTGTGTCCAAGCGTGGCAGTGCAAACAGCTGGAGCATGAGCAGGGCGACGTGTTTTGAGTTTATGCTCTGCAAGAATCCTTCATTGCATTTCCAATCCCTGCATGCAGCTTTGGACAGCTTAGTTGGTTTGGGGCACAGCAGAGGCCCATAGGAAACTTTTTGCTTCAAACCACATGCTGGCACTTCCTAAAGCACTGCCAGAAACACTGCTGGCTGTTCCTGAGCCTACGCTGGTTTGTTGTCAGACCATTATTCCTTGTTCTGCCATCCATCACTACTGAGAACAACCTCTCTCCATCTTCTTTGGAACCCCCATTCAGGAAGTTGAAGGCTGCTCTCAAATTGCCCCTCACTCTCCTCTTCTGTAGACGAAAGAAGCCCAAATCGCAGGTCATTAATAAAGATCTTGAACAAAACTAGCTCCAGAACCAACCCTTGAGGCACTCCTCTTGATACAGATGGCCAACCAGACATCAAGATATTGATCTGTACGTATTGAGCCCGACAATCTAGCCAGCTTTCTATATCCACTGAGACAGATCCATGACTGCCGCACAGTGATGTTCGCAAGACACACTGGGGCTTAGGTGAACCGCTTTCTCTTACCTGATTAAAAAAAAAAATGGCCCAAAGCTAATTGCAGGGTAATCAGGCAATTAAGGCCTGTGGTGCCAATTTAAAAGAGCTCCCCCAGGCTAGGGAGGGAGGAGGCAGAGTGCGAAGGGCTGGAAGAAGGAAGTGCTGTGTGCAGGAGCTGTGTGGGGGTGCGTGGGGGATGACGAGCAGGTACCAAAGGGAAAGTGCTGGGAGGGACAATGTGGGGAAGTGGCTCAGGGAAAAGCTGTCCGGTCGAGGATGGCAGTAACCCTGCCTGTTGCTGCTGCCATAGGGTCCCTGGGCCAGAACCCGGAGTAATGGGCAGTTCCCCCCAACCTCTCTGCGAGATCTCAACCTCTGCCAGAAAGGCGATCAGGACTCCAGAGGGGATTTTACCCCAAACGTATGAACTCATCTGTGATGAGCACGGCTCAGCCGGCTGTGGCTAGTAAAGAGAACGAGGCCCCAGCGAGTCTCTGAGACTTATTCTATCTGCCAGGAGCATGAGCCCCATGGGAAAAGCCAGAGCTTTGCTACACCACCTTACAGTTCCTTTCTCCAGGTCGTGCTTCTTTACCCAGCTGGCAAGAATACTGTGGGAGACCATATCAAAACCTTTGCTAAAATCAAAGCGCCTCCTGTCTACTGCGTTCCCCACACCCACAGAGCCTGTCACCTTGTCATGGAAGGCAATCAGGTTGGTCAGTCATGACTTGCCCTTGATGACTCCATGTTGACTCTTCCTGATCACTTTCCTCTCTTCCAAGGGCTTCGAATTGGATTCCTTGAGGATCCCCTCCATGATATTTCCAGGGACTGAGATGATGCTGACTGGTGTGTAGGTCTCCGAATTCTCATTCTCCCTTTTTTTAAGGATGGGCTCTGTATTTGCCTTTTTCCAATCATCCAGGACCTCCCCCAATTGCCACAAGTTTTCAAAGATAATGGTGAATGGCTCTGCAATGACATCAGCCAACTCCCTCAGCACCGTCGGATGCATTAGATCCAGACTTTTCTAAATAGTTCTTAACCTGTTCTTTCTCCACTGAGGGCTGCCACCTCCTTCCCAAAATAGACAGATGCAAAAAAAGCATTGAGTACTTCATCTTTTCCCACGTCATCTGTCACTAGGTTACAGCCCTTATCCAGTAAGGGACCCACGACATCCCTGATCACCCTCTTATTGCTAACATGCCTGTAGAAACCTTCTTTGTTCCTCTTCACATCCCTTGCTAGCAGCAATTCCAATTGTGCTTATGGCATCATCAGCCAAGTACCCATTTAAGAACGAGCTCTACAAACACAGATAAATGTGTTTAATTAAGAAACTGAATAGTTTCCCTTTTTCTCCTTTTGTGTCCTTCCCACAACTTGACAGCCACTGGAATAGCCTTGCCTTTTCTTGACCTGTACAATGATTCCTCCATCTGTATCCAGCACCAAAGTATAGTAAGAGTTCCTATTTAATTAGATGAATGCTAGCTCAGAATGAAAGTGAAAGCTCTTGGAGTGATTATGGGAAATCCAGCGTTTTCTTTTCATATACTGAGCTTCAAGGATCAAGAATTCATTCCACTCACTTGCCAGTCTTTGAAAACTACCCATG